AATCGCTGCCTTCGGACCCTTCGGCGGCTTTGGAACCGCTGCTTTTTTTGGAACCTTTGGAGCGGCAGCCTTCGGAGCGGCCCTCGGTGGAGGTGGTGCTGTCCAGATGTTGGGCGGCGCTGGCGCGGCCTTTGGCGGACTCTTTGGCGGACTCTTTGGCGGACTCTTTGGCGGTGTGGTTGGCCCCTTTGGTGGTGTAATCGGAGACTTCGGTGGTGTGGCTGGCCCCTTTGGGGGCGTACTTGGCACCATAGCTGTTGAGCCTGGGGTCTTCGGTGGAGTCACAGGCTGCTGTGCCCCACGTATCGCGGATAACACCCCCTGCCTCCTTTCGCTGGCTCGCTGCCTGAACTGGGCTAGATCCGCAATCTTCTCCTGCATAACGGCGCCCTGGGAGCTGGCTGCGGGCGCACCCGAGCCAGGAGCAATGTTGGAGGCTGTGGTGCTCGACGTTGGTCTCCACCTGCCCCAACACTCGTCCTCGTCCGTCTCCTCCTCCTGTGCTTCCACGCTCATAGGGGCCGTGCTCGGCTCCGGCACGGGAGGCATAGGAGTCGTATCCGGCTCTGGCATGGGTGGCTTGAGAGGAGCCACTTTCCCACGCCACGCGTACACAGGAGTAGTCACGACCGGGCTGTCTGGAGAGTCTTGCCTGGCCAGTGCCTTGGCACCAGCCTTCGTAAGAGCGCCGCGGGGAGAAGTCTCCGATCCTGGCAGAATCAACGGACTCGGCGGCTCCACCGGGCTGTCTTCGAAAAGGCTCGCAAAACTCATCGGCGGACTCTCTTCCACCTCTGCTGTCGGCAAGTCCGGCTCCGTAAGTTGAGGAGACAATTCCGGGGAAGAGACCGGAGTCGGCAGCGCCACGTCGTTGGAGAGCTCCGTCTGCTCCGCCGGCAACCTTTGAACCCGGAAGATCGAGTCCTCCATGTCCTGGTCCATCTCGTGGTCGGACCCAGCCATCGTCCCTTACAGGTTCTACTGGGCCTTCAGAGCAAGAGTGGGCTAGGTGAGACGAAGCGACCGACCGACCAACACGCGCTCCTACGGTTTCAAGCCCTACTCCTACACCTACAGGGTGAGACGGGACAACAGAACTCACGCTTCCCTTCTCAACCGACTGCACGGAACCATCAGTAGAATCAGGCTCAACGTAGGTACAAGCTTTCAGCCACGACGTGTTGGCATACAATTCTGTCTCAAAGCGCAGACCACCCGGAGGATAGGCAACATGTAACTGAGGATCATAGTCATAATGAAAGATCCTAAAGCCTAAAGACTGCAAGATGCCTGAGCTAAGGATGCTTATCGAATTGGGGGCAATATACGCTTCCAGCTGCACTCGAATCTCTCTGTAAGCTTGGGTTCCAGAGGGCCCCGCTTCGAAACAAGGGAACCAAAGCTCTAGCAACCCATACCTAGTTATCTCCATAGTCTGGTCGTTGGCGACACTTACAAAGAGAGGCTCAACCTCAAGCTCTCGGATCAGCTTCGCAGTCACTCCAAGCATGTCTTGCGAAACAAGGTGAACACTCCCACCGCTATCAATCAAAAGATACGAGGGGTCGTCCCTAGTGACTGCAGGAAGTGCCAAGGTTGGAAAAGCAAGGCACTCTGAAGACCGATCCCGAAGCTGAGGCTGCGGCGCGGAAGCAAGGCTCAAAGCAATCACTGCTACGGCTACGCAAGCATACGTGAAACATGACTGCCGTGGGCTACTCAAGCATGCAACCAACCGACAAATCAAGCATCCTACCATGCAAAACATGAAAAACGTGAAAATCAAGGCAGTCATGGTGAAAAACTGTCCCCTCTCAGGCATTGCTTCAGAAATCTGCCCTGCCGCGGGCAACAATGACGACATAAGGAGGGCCGCCTTGCCAATCTTCCCGGCACCCTTTGGAGCAGTGGGAGCTGGCGCCGCAGTCGAGGAAGGTGCAGGAGGGGCCACCTTGGGAGCGGCACTCTCTGTTGCCGCCGCTGCTGTCGCAGCAGCCTTCTCATCGGCAATCCTCTTCCTGCACTCGTTGGCCCAATGGCCCGGCTTGTGGCAGTAATTGCAGGTGCCCGGCTTCTTCTTCCCAGGAGCCGGCGTCGAAGATCGGGCCCTTCCGCCCTTCTTGCCACCCTTGCCTTTGTCCTTTCCCTTTCCTCCTTTGTCCTTGCCTTTGCCTTTATCACCATGCTTGCCTTGGTCCTTCCCATGACCTTTTCCTTTGGGCTCGCCACCCTTGGGCTCACCCTTTTCAGAACGGTCACCACCAAAAGCTGCAAAGCCCTTGGCGTTCGAGGCTTCCTTGTGAAAGTTCAAAACACGAAGCTGCTCATCATAGAAAACCAAACCGCGCTCAAGCTGCTCCAAGGTTGTCAAAGACCCATGCAACAAAAGGTACTTCTTGCAATCATCATGAAGGTGCTTCAAGATGCAGCTGATAACATCAGCCTGCTGCAGTTCAAGGTCTGGGTACTTGTTGGCAACGAGCGTGCGGTAGCGAGCAAAATCAGAAATCATATGGCGAAAAATATCCAATGGCCGTCTCAAGTGCTTTGGTGGCGCGATCAAGAGAGCCTGCTCTCTGAGCGCCTGTCCCTCCACACGAGACCTAACAGACAGTTCTTTGTTCAACTCACGCCAGAGGTCGTACCCTGCAGCGGCACCGCCTTGACTCAACTCGACAAGCTTGGCTATGTCAACTCCTCGCTGAAAACCAGCGAGAGCCTGCTTCAAGAGGTACCACAGCTTAGTGGAACGAGCGGCCTTCCCCTTTGAGAGGCTGATCTGCTGAACCTGAACACCGCTCTCCACAGCCTCTTGCAGTTCCTCCGCGTAGCGGTCGTCTAAAAGACACAGCCAGGAGGTCAGTTCTTCGCGGTAAGCGGTCCACGTGGAGATTTCCTCATGGCGCGATCTCATCTTGTCTGCTGCCAACTTTGGAAGGGACGGAATGTAGTTTTCCGCCCTGTTGCTGCGCAAGCCTGTGTCCACATCCATCTTCACAACACCATCAGAGTCAACTCTGAAGGAGCCCAGAGCTGCAGCAGGCGTCTCTTGGGACGAACTCGCAGCAACGGGTGCTGCACTTGCGGCCGAACTTGCAGCATTCGCACTCGCAACGGCGAGCGTCTTCACCATCTCGGTGAGCTGCGAAATCTGGCCCTGCTGAGCTCGGATCTGTTCATCCTGGGCTTGCAACATCTGCCTGAAAAGGTTGACAGTGTTGTCTTCTGGACTTGGCACAGTTGCCTGCTGCGGATTCCCTCCTCCGTGAGGGAAAGTCGGTTGCGTTCCAAACTGAGGCTGCTGCTGCTGCTGAAAACCCTGCTGCAAAGGAACCTGTTGAGGCACCTGTGGAAAAGGCACCTGTGGCACTTGACCTGCACTCACAAGAGGTCTGGGTCTACTCACAGGCCGGTGTGCTGTCGGACTGTTCCGAGCAGGGAGGGACCTTCCACGAGTCCGCGAGCCAGGTGCACTCAACTCTCGAGGGGTTGAGGGAAAGCCAGAAGAAACTCCACTGGCACGACTAGCACTTCGCCCTGAACTCCGTCCTCTTGGGGAACGGTCGCGGCTAGGCTCGGCTCGTGGGTCCATGGCTCTGAGGAGCAACCTTGAGCTCCGCTACCACGTTAAAACCCAAACGCGCCTTGAGGCACACTTCTAGGTTAGTAAAAGGAGGTGCAAGCCGACTGACTGACTACGTCACGCAAGGCTACAGCAGTGAAAGCTAACAGCACTTTTACACCTTTCGTCGCAACCAACTGTTCACCACGCGCTTGTCACGCAGTGCAAGTCTTGAGCCAAAGTGAAACGGGGCGCGGACAGAGACTTCAGCACACTCACTTCCGAGGTAAGTCCTAAGGACTCCTAACGGCTTCTCTGCACTCCTACACAGTCCAAGTGTTCTCCGGACTTCGTCTAGAAGTCCGCTTTCACAGCAAACAAACTGAAAACACTCTGATGTTCATCATGCTTCAGGGAAACACCGTTCTTCGTGAAAACTCGTGAGGCCCGGTTGGACACGCTTCTGGTAATGATCACTTTCACCGCAAGGTGAGACAGGAAGCGTGAGCGCAGCGACCAACAGACAGACAACTTTTCCCTACTCCTACCGTTCACAACTACACCTAAGGTTCTCTAAAACTCACAAAGGAGAAAACAGAAAGTGTTCCTGACCTTGGCGAGACACAGAGGCACCATTATAGGATTGAAAATCAACTCACCGCATATCTCGCAAAGTCGAGATTTCAAGACTTGCAGGTCTCAACCTCGAGGTTGGCGGTGATGTCGGTGCTTTCGCTCGATCTCATCGCCCAGATAGACAGCATGCGCCAAGCCGTTGAAGCTCAGCTCCATGCACGTGGAAGTGCATCCGATAAACTGCAATGGCGCCGGAATTATCGCAGGCGACTGCTTGGAGTTGTGAGAGAACATGTTGTCTGTCAGATTTGTTTGCGACCGCCCTAGCTGTGGAGCTTACGGATGCATCCGTCCGTCGCTTCAACGAGAATCTCGTCCAAGGCTCCGGTTGTGAAAACACAGCAGCAGCGCGCTGAACCCTCTTTTTCTCACGGCTTGAGCCAAAGTCAGCAGCCGGAGGCTTTGTCTGTGCAACTGGCCACAGATATTCCATGTGCCATAGCACTGCAAGTGAAACACTGCTCAGCCACGTGTTCTCCACAACTGCAAAACAAACTCAAACGTCAGTGGGAGTTCTCGGGACCTACTCAAAACTAGCGCAAGCAGAACTACAGCTACACAGTCACTCCAAACGTAGTTACACCAAGGAAAAACACTTCCCTACACTCTCAAGCACTTCAAAAGGCTTTCCACTGAAAGCAAGCTCGTCAGTCAAGCCTCCAAGGCAAAACTTTCAGCTAAAACGACTCACACCTGAGCAGGCATGCAGGACAACCAAAGTAACATGTCTTAAACATGAACTTTCACACCCCCGCTTGGACTGTAATGCCTCAGCGCAACAGTGTAAGCACAGCTCTTTAGGCTAAGTGCTCTGTTCGTCATCCTCGGCACACGTCCGCACGGCAGTCCCTTCTACGGCTACTTTCAAGACTCGCTTAGCAGCACGCAAAAGAGCCCTACCTAGCTTGGTGGGGTAGTAACCGGTTGCCTCAAGACTTTCAGGAGCAACATGCACATGATTCTTGTCACAAGATTTCCCGGAGAAGATTTCACACCACTCCGAACAGTTGCAGGCAAACCACCATCTCTTATAGACCAAATCAAAAGCACATCGGTCTACTTCTCGTCCAAAGGATAGGCCAAGGGACTTCTTCACTCTTTGGTACGTTTCTTCCTTCCAAAGTCCACAGGTCTTTGGCCACTCCTGAGTCAGCAGGACGTCCTGGCAGTGGTTCTGCAACAGCTTTCCTAGCGTTTTCCACGAAGCAACATGCTTCTTCATCTGCTCACGCCAGCGATGGCGAAACTTCGGTTTGTGCCAGTTCTTAAACCGAAAACTACAACCTGCAGTACACGGCGACGCTACATGGATATAGATCTTGGGCGGATTTCGTTTCAACAGACAGAGCAGAACTTCTCCTAAAAACAACTGTGTGTTCTTACTCAAGAAGTCTTCTTCCTGAGTGATGCCAATGTAAGCAACGCTCTCACGCTTGCACGCTGCACACAACGCACTGTCACGGGCACAGAACAGCTCAACCACAAGCAAAGGAACAACCCCCATAGCCAAATCAACGGCTACCGGACGATACTTCAGTAAGTTCTCCGGAAGCTCTTCAAGCTTCTCGTTGAGGTTCTCAAGTTCCTCCACTCTCTCTCGAAGTTGTTCAGGTACACACAGTGTCTGCAAGTCTTCCTCACAGATCCGCTCAAGTCCACAAGCCTCCAGCAGATGCTGGAGCATAGCTTCTTCAGGACTCTTTGTGAGTCCGTCGCTCGGATTCAGGCATCCTTGGATGAATGTGAGACGCAGTCTCTCACTTTGAACAAGCTCTTGCAAGTACCGATGCCTCAGCTCCAAATGCCGCACTCGACGCAGCAGGCCTTTCATCTTCGAAATAGACAATGCCGCTTCACTGTCAGACGACAGGTAAATGGGATACGATCCCGTGTCACCGGCAGGCAGGCCTTGAAGGAGCGTTTCCAACAGCAGGGACAGGTACACAGCTTCCTTGGCAGCTTCAGTAAGCGCGGCCAGCTCTGCTTCAGCTGAGCTTAAGGCAGTCACTGACTGCTTCCTTGAGAAGCACTTGATCATCATGCCATGCCAAAGGACAATGGCACCAGACACTGAACACACGTTCCACGAGGCATCCACATACCCCGAAAGCAAGGTCTCCGACTCAAAACTCTGGTCGACCCAGCCAAACGCAGAGAAGCGCTGAAGGTACTCAGGCAACGCCATCACCCAACGCACAACTCTTCTTAAACAGGCTTCGGCTTGGCTGTCAGGATCACTCTGAAAACGACCTAGAAACCCAACAGGATAAGCTAGGTGAGGAAGCGTGAGACTGGCCCACATGAGCTTCCCAAGCACACGTCGATACCTTTCGTACGACTCAGTGCTTATTGAACCTCCAGGTTCCTTCTTCCGGTACTCCCTCTCAAGGTTTCCCAAAACAGGCTTCACACCTTTTCCGCTGATCCCAAACTCTTCACCAAGCGACTTCAAGTAGCCCGGTTTCAAGCCGAACAACACAGGTCCAGCGTCCGTCACACGGACGATAATTCTTCCTAGAAACTCAAGTTGCCCTTTCTTTCCAGGCTCCAAGATCCCAGTCTGCTTCATTTTGTAAATCTTGGCCAACTGAGCATACAGCTCCTTTGCAATCTTTGAGTTCTGGGAGAAGATGATCAAGTCATCAACATACACCAGCACCAAGGTCAAAGAACCGTCCTTCTCGAGACGGTGGTGCACAGTAGGGTCCGCAGTTTCTCCAAACCCAAACTGCCCACGCAACGTGTTGGTGAACTCCAAGTACCAACTCAACGGCCCAACCCGCAAGCCATTCATGGCTTTGTGTAACTGAGCAAAAAGCGGATTGCCCTGATCGTCATACATCCCGTTCGGAAAACGGATGCACTCAACACCTTGGACAGGCGCCTGCATGAAGGCTACCGAAACATCGGCAGACAACAGCGTTCCTCCACGAACCGCGTGCACAGCAAGGACACCTCGCAAAGCTTCCAAGGAGGTCGTAGGGGAATAGATCCCGTCAGCCAGAGGGCTGGAGCCAAGCGCGTAGTCACGCACAACCAAACGCGCTCTCACACGGTCAGGGTTTGTCACAGAGGGTTTGGAAGTTAGAACCCAACGAGTGGTGTGGATTCTTCGCACGGCCTTCTTCCGGGCCTCAGCTTCTCCAATCACGGTTGCCACACCAAAGGCATCTAACTCCGACAGCTCAAGCTTCATCCCTTCTTCAAGATGCTTCCTAGCGAGAACCTTCCCTGAAACTTCACACACCGCGTTATCTGGGACATGTACCCAGATTTTTCTACCTCCAAACTTCATACTGAACCACTCAGCGGGATTATCTCCCCTCCTCAGCTTCTGCGTCACACGAAGGTCAGGTCCTTCATAGAGCTGGCGAAGACCATACTCGTACAGCCAGGTCAGGCCATCATCCATGATATTATCTTCACCATCACCCATCTCAACATCATCCTCATCAAGGACACCACCAGGAGGAGGTTCGACATCCATCCCTTCACCATCAGCAGGAAGAGAGGGGGAATAATCTGCTAGATCCTCATCCTCCATCGCATCAGGAGCTCCAGGCTCTTCTGCTTGTCCCACAGGGAACTCTAGACTACCATCAGGCAACGCCGGAGGGTCAGGAGGAGGCTGAGGGCTGAGGTGCATCCAGAGGCACATCAAACTTGATGGGTCGCTCGGGGTCCTCCCGGTTTCCTTTCAGTTGGTCTAGCACTGCTTTGTCAAACTCTACCGGGTCCCGGGCACGAAACGAGCTGAAAATCTCCAGACGAGGCGGCTTCCCATCTCCTAAGGGAACAAAGACACGTATCCCAGAGCCGTTGGCGCCATGGGGCCCAACGTAAATCGCCCTCACTAGGCGCTTTCCTCGATGCTCCGGATAGTCCTTTTGTGGCTTTCCAAAGCCTACCACCCCAAACTCACAACTCTTCACAGCTTGGACTGTAGAGCCCCTGAGGCGTTCCAGAGGCGTGCTTTGCTCCTTGGACACATGAAACAAGTTATGCATCCTAACAGCATACCGCATGGCTTCAATAAACAAGTAGCTCCCTAACGGCAGCTGCCCTCCTACACGCTCTTCCAGTCCTAGCCAAACAGACCAAAACGCTTCTTTCACGAGGCAAACGTTACGCTCAACAATGCCTTTTGCCTGGGGCCTGTTCACTGCAAACGGAACCCAATGCATGGACCGTCCTACAAACGTCCTATGCTTCGCAGAATCCCGGAACACACTCTCCAGGAGGTTTTCTTGGTCACCGTGGACCACAATGTCCAGCCCGTTGAGGCCCATCTCAGAAAGAGCCTTGCAAACGGCTGGTACAGGCACCGGGTCCTCAGGACCCAAAACAACAGTACTCAAGTATCCCGACAGGACGTGAACGATCAACAGAAACCGAACATTTCGACCGAAGAAGCCAAAATCTACTTGAAGCTCTCCCGGCGCATAGTGGCTCTTCATGTTCTTGCGTCGTGCTGGCACACGACCACGTGCCGACTGGCACACATCACAGAAACTCAGATAAGGCTGATGCCCTTTGTTCCGGTGCGCTCGCAAACGCTCTGAAGTAATGTATACTGGAACCTCAAGGTCTTCAGGAGGAGACAAACCTGAACCAGACGGCTCGGGACGAGGTTCGGGGTCAGGAGGGCCGGGAGGTTGAGGCTTCGGGTCGGGGTCTGGCAACAACTCTTCTTCAGAATCAACAGTGATCTCAACCGGCAGGCCTGCAAGCATACGCGCCCTATGCACAACACACTCGGACACAACATCCTCAAGCACAACATGTGGGGCCTCAGGAATCCGCGGTGCTTCTTCATTGTGCTGCCCACGCAAGGCAGCAACTTTCTTACGCACTTTGCGGACCAAGCACAACAACCTTCTCATCATCGGCCGTTGGACTCTCCAAGGGAAACACCGACGGGGATTCCGACCTTTCAAAGTTACTCGCACCCACTTGTGTCTCCGGCTTCCGAACCGCAGCTTCCTACGACCCCCGCTTCGACGCACTACCACAGCTACAGCACAGACTGCCAGCAGCACGCAAAAGCGAAACCCCGCAACCTTTGAAATAACCCTGAACAAGGCTGCGGCACACGATCTTTCTAAGGAACACCTGGGCAGAGCGAGACACTTTGTGGATCCATTCGGGTAGGGCGTAGCTTCGGGAACACTCAAGCAACACGCACCTACCGCACCACACTCGAGGTTACCTTCTCCTACAGCACTGCACTCACGACAACCTACCGCTTCGGCACTGCACTCTAGACGTTCTACAGCTTCGGCACTGCACTCTAGACTGCCTACCACTTTGGCACCGCACTCTTGCACTTTTTTCGGGGAAGACACCGAAGAGCTCACTTTGAGGATGACGGGCCTCGAACCTAAGGTTGAGGCCAAAACCTCAGAAGAAACACACCGCCTCAGATCGAAGGTGATCGATCTCTCTTCTTTGGCGTAGGGGCTAGAGTTGCCCTTGCTGTTGGCCGGGGTGCTTTTGACGGCCTGGCTGAAGGTCTCACTGTAGGGCGGGGCGGTGGAGTTTGAGGCACAACCGACACACTCGGAGTGATGGGCGTCACATGCTGGCCCACAGCTCCAAACACCTGGCGCAACGGCCCGGTGGACCACGGATTGAAAATGCCTCGGTATCCGGGCGGTGGTGCTGGAGGCACTGGTCCCATGTACCCCAAGAAGGGCGGCGCCGGCGGGAACATGTGCATCTTCCCAACAACCTGCGGTGCTTGTGGTACAGGGCCCATTGGCCCAACCATCGGCGGCGCTGGAGGTCCCATGTGCCCAACATCCGGCACCTGCCCCACCTTGGGCATCGCCTTCACTTGAACAGCTCGGACCGCCGGCCTCAAAGCAACTCGAACCGCAGGCCTCGCAGCAGCTTGAGCAACAGGCCCCGCAGCAGCTGGAGCAACAAGGCTCACAGCAGCTTGAGAAGCAGGGCTCTCCGGAACCTTGGGCATCGCTTTCACCAAAGGTGATCGTTGGGGTGTCTTTGGAACCGCAGATCCGGGCGACACCGGCGTTGTCGGAGGCGTTCCTGGAGGAGTGATAGCTTCCACACTCGAAGACGACAGGCTGGTAACTCCGGAGGAGTCCCAGACTCTACGGCTCCCTCGGGGGCCGCTGAACTCTCGGGGGCACCAAGGGCATCCCCAAGTTGTAACTCCAAAGTAAGCAAACGAACTGTAGCAGCGGCTTGCTCCTGAGCAAGCAGGGCTGCTTGGAGCTCTGCCTCCTTCCGTGCCCTCTGTTGGGGCGTCCACTTCTCGACAGCCACATTGGCGGCTGCCTTCGCCGCTGCCGACGCTCGCTCCTTCTCCGCCAAGTTCTTGCTGGCGGCAGCCATCTTGAGCTCTTGCTCCCTCAGCAAAGCCACTCCTTCGGCGGCCTTGTCTCTCTCCCCCTCGTTGTGGTCCTTCTTGTCCTCGGCGACCTGGTCCTTTTCTCGTGCACGGCGCTCCTTGGAGCCTTTCTTCTTCTCCTTCTTCTTGTCCTTCTTCTTCTTCTCCCAAGAAGTCTCCGGTGGTGTCTCGGGCGGCGTCTCCGGGGGTCCAGGCGGCACCACAGGCGTCCCCGGTGGAGGCGGGCTCGCAGGAGGGCCTGGCACCGCCTTCCATTTCCCCCAATCGTCGGCCTCGTTGCCCTCCTGAGTGGGAGCGGGAGGTTCTCCAGAAGGCAAGGCCGGAGAAGTTAGGGAGTGAAATCCTCGGTGGAGCAATTCCTTCGAATCGCATCTGTTCATTGCCACTAGTTCTTCGGCCTCTCGCCTCTGCTCTACGCTGCGACTCAGCTGCAGCTTCTGCACCAAGGACTGTCGCCTGCTGGATGCCGCTGTCTGCATCGCTCTGAGATCTTGCCATCTCTCGGACATAACCATCATCTGGGCCGGCTCCTTCTCCTGAGCGACCCCTTCCGGCCCCATCTGGAGCAAAAGGGCCCTCTTCTTGACACACAGTCCCCGTCGTAACGGAGATGACTCCATAGAGAAAAATCACCCACCGCAAGGCTCGAGACAGAACCGCGGCAGAAGAGATACGTTTCTGCTTGCTTTTACGTGTCCCTAATGCACCTGCACTTGCACACTCCGGACGACAGGCAGCTTCCGAAAACCCTGCACACTCACTCCTACAGGCAGTCTCCGAAAACCCTGCGCACTCACTCCTACAGGCAGTTTCCGAAAACCCTGCGCACTCACTCCTACCGGCAGTTTCCGAAAACCCTGCGCAAACCTTCACTGAAGCAGCTTCCGAACCACAGGCTCTCACAGTACTCTGAGGCGTTGGCGGCAAAGGCTCTACACTCACACATGCACTCGCACTCCTACCGCTCCTACGGCATGCTTCGGTGTGTGTGGTGCTTGCTTGCTTAAGCGAAACGGCTGCGGACGAAACACAGACTTCAGAACCTACCACACAACCCGCACACAGCTCTTCAGAACAAACTGCAGGCACTACCTCAGTCTCAGCTGCTACTTCTGCTGCAGAAACACACTCGCACGAAAACTCACTGCAAAAGGCTCGCAACAAGAACTTGAAAGGAGCCACTTCCAAAGCTCTCTGCGGATGCTTGTTCGGATGCGCCTTCTCCTTGGCGCGGTCCACTTCCATTGCATCTCCCGTGTCGTCGTCTTCTTTCCCAAACTTCGGTGGGGTACCTTTGGGCACTCCTGCTTTGGACTTCGCTTTCGCCTTAGCTCTCGCGGGGCCGATCTCCTGGGCCATTGCCCACCAGCTCCTGGCTTCCGTCTCTAAGGGAACCCAAACCCAGGAACCCTTCCCATTCTGCTTCATCAAGCAACTCTCTCCGGGTGTGGCAGTGAACCAAGAACACCAACCCGAAAGCGACGCCTGCCAAGAACTGATCACATTGAAACCAATCTGACAAACCAGGACCTTCTGAAGCACTACAGACCCTAGCCTCCCAAACTTCACACGGATATCGACCAACCAGGCATTCCATCTCGGTGTCGCTAGCACTCATCAAGACAGGCAGCGGTCCCGAATGCTCCTTCACGACTTCGTAAAACGACAAAGAAGCAACAGACAACACGTGGCACGTGGCTCCACTATCAACAAGCCACGCAAAGTGACTGTTCCTCGAAGAGGACTGGTTCAGCTTCTCTACTTCCTTATCCGTCATGGTGAGACGTGGGGGCTCAGCATCATTGGGCTCATTCTTCACTACTTTCCCTGGGCGCATGCCCCTGAGACGATGAAATCTCAAGGCCATCACTTGCTCCGACGGCTCGTCTTCAACAGCGCGTCCCTTGGACTTCGCTTTCGGCTTCGCCTTTGGCTTTCCCCACTTTCCTTTGTCCTTGCCCTTCTCGCCCTTCTTGTCGCCTTTGCCCTTTCCTTTGGGCTCGCCTCCTCGACCGCCACCACCAGAGGGCTTTCCACCCTTGCCTTTGTCTTTGTCTTTGCCTTTTCCTTTGCCCCCCTTCGGTGGTTCAGGACACTGCCAACTGTAGTGACCAGCCTTGCCGCAGTTCCAACACAAACCCTTGTCACCAACAGCGTGAAGGGCTCCAGCGTCGCAAAGCCTGGTCTGTTCCTCAAAGAACCGGATGCTCGTCACAAGCTCTTCCAAAGTTCCAGACTTGCCGTGCAAAACAACGTAATGCCGGCACTCAGGGTTGACAGATTGAAGCAAAATGGTTAGGCGATCCGAGCCGCCGGGCTTCAGCTCCGGAAAACGATGGAGCTTCTGATCCACTTTGCCCAGCTCATCCTCCAAGAACCGGACCACATCAAGTGGCCTCTTGTAGGTTCGGGCTCTGGCAGGCAACTTCAGGGCCTCATCTCTCACTGCAATTGCCTCCATTCTTGAGACAATGCTGAAAGTCGCATGCATTTGCCGCATGACTTCGTACCCACAAGCAGCTTGAGCTTGCCGCATGGACGTGCTTCTCACAAGCTCCATGCCTCTCTCAAACTTCTGCAAACTCTGTTGAAGGTAGTAAAACAACCAAGCAGACCTCGAAGCCACAGGAGCAGACATCTCTGACTGCTTGATCTCCCTGTTGTGCACCATTGCTTGGCGCAACTCGTTGACGTAGTTGTCGTCTATGAGCGCCAACCATGACGCCAAGACTTCACACCAACGGTGGTACTCTTCCAGCTCTTTCACACGCCCTTTCCCCATCCATAAAACGTCGATGGTGGGCAAAGCAGGGAGGTACTTCTCAGCTCTGTTGCTTCCGACGTGCACCGACGGACCAGCAGGCGCTGGAGGTGGAGGAGCAGTAGCTTTAGCTGACGGACTTCCAGCCGCAGCCGTCGAACCAAAGGGGTCAGCTACAGCTGCAGAGGCAGCCTCAGCTTCTCGCCTTCTTCTCTCATCTGCGTCCATCCTAGCCATCATGACCTGGAGCGTCTGCTGTTGCATCTGCATCATATTCAGCATCAACTGCTGCAGCTGTGGGTCCAAACCAACTGTCGTCGTCACTGCAGGTGGAACCGGTGCTTGCTGTGGCACTGGCTGCGGTGCCTGCTGCGGTCCAACAGTCGGGACAGGCTGAGGTCCTGGGTTCGACGGCTGACTCGCCTCTCCAGGACTCGGACCAAACAGTTCAAAGTCGTCCTCCTCAGGCACTGGGGTCGCGGCACTTTGGGCAGGGTCAGCCATGGCTTCTCTACAGCTACGAGCGTGCCACACACGCTCCGCTACCATGTGAAAACACAGCAGCAGCGCGCTGAACCCTCTTTTTCTCACGGCTTGAGCCAAAGTCAGCAGCCGGAGGCTTTGTCTGTGCAACTGGCCACAGATATTCCCTGTGCCATAGCACTGCAAGTGAAACACTGCTCAGCCACGTGTTCTCCACAACTGCAAAACAAACTCAAACGTCAGTGGGAGTTCTCGGGACCTACTCAAAACTAGCGCAAGCAGAACTACAGCTACACAGTCACTCCAAACGTAGTTACACCAAGGAAAAACACTTCCCTACACTCTCAAGCACTTCAAAAGGCTTTCCACTGAAAGCAAGCTCGTCAGTCAAGCCTCCAAGGCAAAACTTTCGGCTAAAACGACTCACACCTGAGCAGGCATGCAGGACAACCAAAGTAACATGTCTTAAACATGAACTTTCACACCGGTAGTCATCTCGGACGGATTGTCGCATGAACTGCCGAGGATCGATCGCGAAACCGTTTGCTGTCAACGATTGGTGCTCAACCCGGCCAATCGAGGACTACAAGTAAGTTGCTTCAAAGCTTCTTCCAAGTCGCAGACGCTGGAATATTGAAAACAGATGGATCAAATCAGGTTGAAGGACATGTTGTTAACTCATGCCAAATTAAAGACTCCGATGTGCGAAGCTTGCAGCGCAAGGATCTTCATTGAACCCAACTCAGAGATATTTTGGCAAACTTCAATAGGAGCCCCGATGTGAGTTTAGTCACCAAATCCATGTCCGAGCCATAAAGCGGGCAGACATGTAGCGTGGACACAAATTCTCCGTCATACTGGGGAGGCCCACTTTGAAAGGCGCCGTTTTTGAGCAGGTTTTAGGTCCCAAAAGTGGCCCCGAAGCTTTTGCTCGTGAACCTATTTTTTCTATGCCGTGCTTCCGGTTGTCAAGCCAGGCGGTGCTTGCCGAGCACGCCAGCAGTCCGGCTTTGGGGCTCTCGACGTTTCGCAGCAGGTCCAGCAACATAGGTTTTTGGGGGGGTGTTCGAACCCAAGGTTTGGAACTTAGAGTTCCGAACCCAGGGTTCTGGAACTCCGAACTAAGAGTTCGGAGACTCGAACCCAGGGTTCGAACATCGAAGTTCCCTCCGAACCCTGGGTTCGAACTTTGAGTTGAACTCCAAGTTGAACTCAACTCCGAACTTCTTGAACTGGAGTTGAACCTGGAGTTGAACTCTGAAAAGACGAAGAGTTTGAACCCAGGGTTTGAACATAGAGTTTCCGAACCCAGAGTTCGAACTCTGGCGGTCCTCAAGAGTTGAGTCCCCAGGTTCGAACATTGAGTTTCCGAACCCAGAGTTCGAACATGGAGTTTCCGAACCCAGAGTTCGAACTCTTGTCTCATTGCTTCTTGTTCTCTCATTTTATTTTTTTTCGCAAAACCCGATTAGCGATTTCGTGTGTCTTCTTCTCTTTTGCTTGTGCTTAAGGGTTGAGTTTGTGGTTTCTCATTGTAGTGTGCTCTCAGTAATTTATTCGCAAAACCCCCCACAAAGCGATTCTATGTGGCTTCTTTTCCTTTTGTTTGGTGATTGTTGGTGTTCTGTTCGAACCCCCGAACTCTGGGGGGGAGTCTAGAACCTGGGGTTGGGCGGTTCATTTGTTCGCGCCTTTAGCATTCTCGTAGGAGACTTCATGTCCTTCTGAAGCCCCCTTGAGAAGAAAGACTCCTCGTCATTGACAATCTTTTTCTTTGTTTTGTCTTTCTTTTATTTCTTCGCCAAAACCCCCGATAAAGTGGTTTCGTGTGGTTTCTTCTTCTTTTGTGGCAGGGACTGGTCATTGGTAGTCTTTTTCTTTGTTTTCGGCAAGCTTCTAAAAACAGCGGGGGGGTTGGGGGGGGGCGCAGCCCCCCCCCAAACGTGGAGTTCCCGAACTCGCCAGGGGGGGGACGAATTCCAGAACCCGAGGTTCCAACACAGAGTTCCCCAAACACCGGGTTCCAACATAGAGTTCCCGAACCCAGGGTTCGAACTCCCTGGGGGACGGGGGGGGGTTCCGGAACCCGGGGTTCCGGTATAGAGTTCCCCAAACCCCAGGTTCGGGCATGGAGTTCCGAACCCAGAGTTCGGACTCTCTGGGAAGGGGGAGGAGTTCCCGAACCCGGGGGTCGAACGTGGAGTTCTCCAAACCCCGGGTTCGAACATAGAGTTCCCGAACCCAGGGTTCGAACACAGAGTTCCCGAACCCCGGGTTCGAACATAGAGTTCCCGAACCCAGGGGTTGAACATAGAGTTCAAACTCCAGGTTCAACCTGGGTTCGAGAAGTTCGAACCCAGGGTTCAACCCTGAGTTCCGGAGTTATATGTTCTCCCCCCCCCCCTCCCCCCGGGCCCCCCGGGAGTTCGAACCCTGGGTTCCGGAACACTCCAAAAACCTATGCTCAGGTCCAGAGTGCTGCCCACATTGTGTTGTATCGCGAATTCGGTTTCTCCGAACAATAGAACCACCAGGCGAGTGGGAAAAAGGCTATTTCTACTGGAAAATGTGCACTGCGCCACAGCGGGAGACACAGAACAGAACGGTTTTAAGCGTTTTTACAGTAGCGCGGCGCACAATCATAACGTGCTTTAGGCGCGTTATGATCATTTTCGCTGGCAGTTTCCAAGGAAACGTCAAAATCGTAACGTGCTTCGTGCGTCAAACAAAGCACATTACGATTTCGAGTTTTCCCTTGTAAATGCCTGCCAAATCAATCATAACGCGCCTAAAGCACGTTATGATTGCGCCCCGTACTACTGAAAAATGCCAGATTTCGTTATAACACAAGCCTGGAACTGTGGAAACAGTGCGATTTCTACGCAAGATGCTGCGAGAGCAGGGCTGGACCTGTGAAAATACTGCAACTTTGATGGACGATGTGCTTCAGAATACCACAATTTCGCTGTCAAACATGCCTGGGGCCAGAAGCGAGCCGGGACCGCCGTGCAGATTGTTTTTGGGCTCCGAGGCAAATAAACCGGAAGTGAAAGCATCAGACGTGTTTCTGTGTGGTTTTCACCCAAGACTGAGACCAAGAGACCTTCCGGGTGGGCTCCGAGGCTTACAAACCGGAAAGGAAAGCATCAGACGTGTTTCTGCATGGTCTTCGCCCAAAGAAATGGGACCAAGAGACCTTTCTGGTAAGCTCCGAGGCTTACAAACCGGAAGTGAAAGCATCGGACGTGTTTCTGTGTGGTCTTCACCCAAAATGGGACCAAGAGACCTTTACGGTGGGCTCTAAGGCATAGAAGCCGGAAGTGAAAACATCATCAGACGTTTCTCTGTGCGGTCTTCACACTAAGGTGACACCAAGAAACCTTCGACTTTGTCTTCGCGCAATGTCGGAAATATTGCGCAAGGGACTGCGGGGGATGCACGGTTGGAGTGAGTGTGTGAGGGAGTTTGGGAGTCAAGAAGTGGTTTGGGTGAGCGTGTGAGTGAATGCGCAAGTCACGGAGGGTCTAATGTTGTCTCCTGATTATTAAACCCCCCCCTCAACCCCAATAATAACGGAGGGTCCGCCTCTCTGATCTTTAGTTGTTTGGGGGACCGGGGTCGAAGTTGTTTGGGACCCGGGGCTCTCAGTAGTAGTACAGTAGTACAGTAGTAAAGTAGTACAGTACAGTAGTAGTACAGTAGTACAGTAGTACTGTCTCCTTTATCTTGCCTGTTTCTGTCTTTCCTCTTCCAGGGCGTCACTTTGTAGTAGGAGTGCTTCTCTGCCTAAACCTTATGAAAATTTTACACCGGGACGGGTTTTAGGACTATTGAGGGGTGTTTATTATTACGTGCAGGCCGAGTTTAGCTCTATTGAGGGGACCTTTTATTATTGAGTTCCCGGGCCGAGTTTAGCTTTATTGAGGGGGCCTTTAAAAATTACGAGCTCACATTATCTGCGATTGCTGCAATATGAGATTTGAGACCAGTTCTCTGCAGCCGCCCCCCAGTGCAAACATAACGTGCGCGCGGCCGTTCAACGTGTAGACGTGTAGAAGTTTCTTGGACTTCGGCTATCTTGCTTCCGAGGGCCGTGACTCACTTTCAGAACTTTCAGTCTCTTTCTTTCCTTCAACATTGAAGGGCGTCCAGCACGTTACGATCTTCAGTTTCCCGTTGAAACTTTCGGAGTTTCGGATGGCTGAATGAGTGGAAGCCGCACAGCTCCGCAGTGTACGGAAAGCCCTGACGAAAGCACGTGCAAGAGCTTTGGTCGGACACTCAATATTGTCCTTTGGAGTTGGCGTTGTCTTGCATGGTTATCCTTTGAGGTGCCATGCCGCCGAAAGCGAAGGCTAAAGCCAAAGGCCAAAGGAGCATGCCTGGCATGCTTCCCATTGAGCCGGAATGTGTCCCCTGTTTTGGGGTCCGAAAACTGGGTATGGTTTGGGGTCCGTGGGGGGTGGCCTCCCTAGTTGCAGCTGCAATTGGTTAGACAGTTAGACTACATGCAGCGGGTTTTCAATTTCACCGTTGAAATCGAATGTGTGTTCAAGAGAAGCAGGAATTGGGTGCTTCACCTTGGAGTTGTCCAGCTGCATCTTGCGAATGACTGGTGGACGGTATTTCTCAACCTGCGTCAGATTTTGTGACTCCAAGAACGAGCTTGAGAGTGTTTTTCCGGCACCAAAATGCGGGCCCCAAAATGGGCCCGTTTTCTGAGCCTTCCTTAATTCTGCCAATACTAGAACGCTCCAAAAACGGGCCCGAATTCCGGGCCCATTTTTGGGCCCCGCTTT